CGTGAAAAATTCGGCAATTTATTTTATTTCAAAATTCTTGGTATAGTTTGATAGCCAGCTCTATAAGCTTTAGTTTGATAAAGGAGTTTAAGGATCGACAGTTTAAACCGGACGCGCTACATCGCTTGGATGCGAGACATCCCTGAAGGTATACGGTAACCTTATGGGTTTTTTTCTCATACGAGGTTATATTTTCCTAAGTTGATGGGACTAGCTAGGACCTGGTGCCACTCAATAATTCTGTCACGTTTTCAGGTCAAATTATAACCTACGATCATAGCCTCCCTCCCTTTCCAAAAAAAAAAAAAAAAAAAACCAAATCAAAAGACACGTGTTGGTCTATCATGTTGCAAATTTTAAGCTCCATTAGATTAAAAACACAAAAGTAGTTCCCAAATGTTTATTTTTTGCAATGGCGACAGCTGACCCGGGGTGATTTTGTCTATTTATGATTTATCCACTCGTTTCTCCCAAACATCACACAACAGAACCAACTGAAGCACAAGAGGAAACAGATGCTCCAGAAGCAACTGAGGAACCAGAGGCTACAGAAGCTCCAGAACCTCCAGAAGGAACAGAAGCTCCAGAAGGAACAGAAGCCCCAGAACTAACGGAAGCTCCAGAAGGAACAGAAGCCCCAGATGGTATAGAAGCTCCATAGGAAACATAAGAACCGAGTGAAGAACCCGGGGCAGAGTAGTGTAGTAAGAGGAGGCGAAGACTGTCGGACGACTAAATGAAGATTAAGATCTATATGCATGTCCTCAAGACGATCACCAGCAATTCTACATTGAGTAAAAAAAAGCTATCTTGTGCAGTGAGTCACAACCTGTAAACATTACCCTTTTTTTTAACGGTATAACGTAGTTTAATGTAGTCTATTTGAAATGTAGTGTAAGTTGTGTAAAGTAGTGTAATTTGGTTAAGTAAATTATATTGTAATATATAAAAAAATATATTTTTTTTCTTTTTTATAGCACAGCCACCACAATGAAGGCTTTTTTTTCTTATTTCTTCGCCTTGTGTTAATTTGATAAGATAAACATGGTGGTTAATAAAGTTTACTTTGATAAATCCTTCTTTTCTGAAATTCAATCCCTGTGACTCCATTTTTGGTGGCAAAAAGAAAAAGACTCGGCGGAGCTTTTTATTTGATTAACAGATGGTGTACAAGAAAACACACAGAGAAACTCATAGACAGCGCACTGCAATTTGCATACATAAAGTTTCCAAGTCAAATCACTATAGTTGGAACCTCCTGTAAGCGACCACCTCTTGTAAACAACCGCGACCACTTTTAGAGCTAACAGTTTAAAATTGTCTTTAGTTTTTAACCTCCCGTAAACGACCGCTTGACAGATAGTAGAGCGAAATTTCCATAATAAGATGTTTTAACATTATCGCGTTTCTGGGTATTACAAGAGACGGAGATTTCTCAATGGAAAGTACCGGATTTTTTTTTCTCGAAATTGACTTTTCAAATGAATATTACATTTAAAACACGGGATAATATAACTTCCTGCAGTTACCATATGCAATGAGGCTTCTTTTTTTTTTTACCTATTATGGTGTAAGCTCTCGTAAGCGACCACCCCCCGTAAGCGACCACCTAGGCTTGACGTTTTGGGTGGTCGCTTACGGGAGGTTTGACTGTATATATTTCATGATGAGCCTTACGTGCTTTCTTATTGCTGGTTTTCTTATGCAAGATATGCGGAGGAATTTTTTACCCAAATTTATAGAGATTTGTATGGAGAAGCCACGCTGGTGCCCATCCGTATGGGCACCAACATGGCGGCCGGAAACCAACAGAAACATCTGTCACTGAGTTTTGCTACAAAAACGTGAATTTATCCCTCGAGGAACTCCAAAACATTGAAATAATACTTTTTTCTAAGACATTAACCGTTCAGATAGCCAAATTCCCCGAAATAAGTCAGTTTTTTAACCATCATGACAGCTTTCTAGGCCGTCGCGTAAATTCCGAGTCACGCAAAAGCTTAGAAATTCAAGCGTAGTATATCACAAAACCAAGAACCCATTCGAAACGAAAATTTGTATGAAAATGAGTTTTCAGCTGCTCTTATACATCATTAAAGTAAAATCTCAGGAAGATCAACAGTTTTGTAGTTTAAATTTTACAACAATCACGAGCCAGAGCTAACCGGAAGCTCAAAAATTCGCCAGGTCCGGTTGCTATGGGGTGACGTCATTTATCTGTTAGGTTGCTGTCATCGCAAGACATTTGCGGCTCTATTGTGGTTAGCGATAATTGCTTTCAGTGAGAGTAATTGTGTACAAAAGTACCCTGGTTATTTTCAGATATGATCTGGCCACATAACTGATATTTTATAATGAATTTTCATAACGCGGGAATATTGCGCGGTCATATATAAAAGAGACTTCGACTTCGAATGAACCCGTCATCGGTCGTTGAAAACGGACACAAAACGAGATTTGCCTCTGAGTTNTCACAACACGTGAATATTGCGCGGTCATATATACTTAGGACTTCGACTTCGAATGAACCCGTCATCGGTCGTTGAAAACGGACACAAAACGAGATTTGCCTCTGAGTTAGAAGATATGGTGTCTCTCTGACGCATTTGTGCGAAATTGAGCCAGTTTCAAATCGAATTTGCCTCGAGGAGTTAAAGAAGGCGCGTATACATTTGGATTGGTTTTCGCTTATACCATAATTAGTTGTTGAAAACCAAACGAAACCGCCAGCCACGATTGCTTTATACATGAATTCATTCACCCAAGAACGACAGAGACAACCAGAAAGTGTCTTCAGCTTGCGCTGCCCCTGACCAACCTCCTAGAGCATCGAATCAAGACAACAGCTTCAAAACTCAACAAGCCAAACGCACCAAGTTAAGTCTTCCGATTAATATTTTATTTATATCATAATTTACACCCATTCTCATGCTTTTAGATTGCATGGGGACTAGATAGCTATTTTCATTCGTGGGTTAGACCCTAGACTGAAGTCCACGGTACGCCAGTTTTCTGAAAGACGAGTCCAGATATATAGTAAAATCACCATATAGCCACATATTATAAATCCGCCATGGTTTGCCCACAGAAACGTCCTCGCAGTATTTCTACGTTACCGAGTGCTACAGGATATTTTACAAAAACCACATAATTTTTCAGTAATGCGTGACTCTATAGGAAACAAAAACAACAACAAAATCGTCATTTTTCCGTCGTGCGTGACATTATAGGAACATGTTACATACCCTTTTCTGGTTCATCCAGGCTGAAGTCCATGCAATACAGTTGCTGAGTGCTTCGGGATATGTA